CACCTGGGATGATCTGAAGGCGGCGTGGCACAAGCGGTTCCAGGTGGAGCCGCCAGAGATCAAAGCCATGGACAAGCTCATGGTCTTCGAGCAAGCCACGCTGCCGAGTACGGACTGGATCGCCGAGTACCAACGCTTGACATCAATCCCAGACATCCAGATGGGCTTCAAGGCCATCCGCCACTACTTCATCTCAAGGTCATGTCCGACATTGAGCAATGCCCTGACGCATGTCGAGGACACCTTGACGACGACGGCGGAATTATTGGACAAGGCTGCGCAGATCATCGTCACGAACAAGGAGCCAAGAACCTCCGTTCATCTGCATCAGGACCGAGGAGGGACCAGCATCGGCCAAGAGTGGCCGTGGTCGCAGCGGCAGCGCCGTTAGACCAAACCAGCGAGGCTGCGTCTGCTAGTGAAGGAGACAGATTCGCAGCCGCCCGGGAAGGTGGCCGCGCCGGCAGAGGCCGAGGGCGCGGCAAGCCGAAGACACACACCGTTTCTAGCCCCGGGCCTAGTGCAGCAACTCAGACAGGCCCATGGACCCCGTATGGCATCTCCAAGTCCGCATACAAGGCGTGCGAGAGATTCCACTATTGCCTTTGGTGCAACAGCGATCCTCATCAGACGCATGTTTGCCCATTGAAAGGCAAGGGCAGACAGGGAAACTGAGCACCGCCGAGAGTGACGCAACGACACTCTCGACGCCTTCGCAACTGGTTTCTTCGCGAGTGACCAGCCTTCATTCCGAGGCGCACGCGGAAGTCGATAGTCCTCCGCTTCTACTTTCTTTTGAGGACTATGCTGCCCGGCTCGTTCCAACGCTGGGTACTCAAGCTCAAGGACAAGGAGTGTGTGCGGTTTCTTCTACATCCGGCAACAACGACATATCGTCTTCAAGTGGTTCGTCACGGGATTCAGCGCGCGAGTTCAAGATAGAGGTTTTGGACCCGCTCACGTCTAAGGACTTTGCATGGCTTCCTCTCCCGACCACAGGCTGTTTGCCGGGACCGCAATGCGCAGCACTTAGCGCTCATCTCCACACTTACCTTTCCTTCTATGCACCACCAACTTTGCCGACGGATGACGAAGTCGCGGTGGGGGACATCATGGCATACGTTACCAAGGTGGCCCGCGAGTTTCGCACGCAGCGGTACGATAACAACAATGCACCGCTAATGTATGTCCGCATCCAGGTCGGGCAAGCGTCCTGCAGCGCTTTGCTGGATAGCGGCGCAACTCGCAACTTCATGAGCCAGTCTTTTATGCAAAGAGCTGGCCTTGGCGCACAAGTTCGGAGGAAGGCAAACCCGACGACGATCAAGTTGGCGGATGGTAAGACGCAACAACTTCTCGACCGTTACATTGAGGCCGTACCGGTGTACTTCGCACCTCATGCATGCGAACCGGTAACATTCGATATTCTCGACACGGACTTCGACATCATTCTGGGAATGCCTTGGCTCGCAAGTGCGGATCACACGGGCAACCTCCATCGGCGGACTCTTAGCGTTCGCAACGCCTTCGGCGCGGAAGTGGCGTGTACTATTCCTCTACCGCACACTTCGATCCGGTGCCAAGTGATGACGGCCAAATCATTCCGGGCGACTTGCGCTTACGAGCAGCCCAAGGAGATCGGCCTATGTTTCCTGCGGACCGTCGCGGTAGCCGACTCTTCACCCACGGACTTGTCTTCGGACCCCCGTTTGGTACGGTTGCTGGACGAGTTCGCCGACATCTTTGAGTCACCTACCGGTGTGGTGCCGGGTCGGCCGATCTCTCACGAGATCATTCTTGAGGCCGGTGCCATGCCGCCGAAAGGTTGCATCTATCGGATGAGCGAGGAGGAGCTTGAGGTCCTTCGCGCACAACTCGATGATTTGCTGGCCAAGGGCTGGATCCGCCCGAGAAGCTCCCCATATGGAGCACCAGTTCTCTTTGTCAGGAAGAAGAACAAGGATCTATGATTATGTATCGACTACCGCAAGCTCAACGCGCAAACCGTCAAGAATGCGGGGCCTCTCCCTCGCATCGACGATCTTCTCGAGCGGCTGGGCGGTGCGAAGGATTTTTCCAAGTTGGATTTGAAATCAGGATATCATCAAATCTCGATTCAGCCGAACGATCGCTACAAGACCGCATTCAAGACGCGGTACGGGCATTTTGAGTGGGTGGTCATGCCTTTTGGCCTCACCAACGCCCCGGCGACGTTCCAGGCGGCGATGACCAATGAGTTCCATGCAATGTTGGACCGGTTCGTGCTGGTCTACTTAGGCGATATTCTCGTCTACAGCCGGACATTGGAGGATCATCTTGGACATCTTCGACGAGTGTTGGAGACGCTCCGTCGTGCCAAGTACAAGGCCAACCGCGACAAGTGCGAATTTGTCCGGCAAGAGCTGGAATACTTGGGCCATTTTGTCACACCGGAGGGCATCAGTCCGCTATCGGACAAGATTCAGGCCGTCCAAGAGTGGCCTGAGCCTCGGATCGTCACGGAGGTCCGCTCGTTCCTCGGTCTTACCGGCTACTATCAGCGCTTCATCAAAGGCTACTCCAAGAACGCGGCCCACTTGAACAAGCTTCAGTGCAAGGATCGGCTGTTTGACTTCGGAGAGGAGGCGCGAGGATCATTCTTCGCTCTCAAAGCCGCGCTATTGTCTTCGGAGGTCTTGCGAATCTATGACCCGCTCGCGCCTATGCGTGTCACTACGGATGCGTCAGGCTATGGCATTGGTGCAGTCCTCGAGCAACATGATGGTGTGGACTGGCACCCGGTCGAGTACTTCAACAAGAAAGTGCCCCTCGTGCATTCCATTGGCGATGCACGCAAGATAGAGCTCCTCGCCTTCGTCCACGCACTCAAGCGGTGGCGGCACTTCCTCCTTGGTCGAAGCCAATTTCGATGGGTAACGGACAACAATCCGTTGGTCTTCTACAAGACCCAAGACACCGTCAACAGCACCATCGCTCGATGGATGGCTTTCATCGACCAGTTCGACTTCTTTCCCGATCACATTCCCGGGAAGTCGAACCGTTTTGCGGATGCTCTCTCACGGCCTCCAGATCATTGTACCACAGTCTACTCGACGTTCGAGATTGACGACGACCTGCAGAACAGCTTCATCCGCGGCTACCCAGCCGACCCCGAGTTTCGCAACAAGTACGCGAATTGCTCCTCTCCTAATCCGGCTCCTCCTCACTACCGGATCCAAGAGGGGTACTTGCTGGTCCACACGCGGGGGAAGGACCTTCTTTGCGTAACGAGTGATCCTCACTTGCGTACACGGCTTCTTGGCGAGTTCCACGACGCTCCCGCCACTGGACATTTTGGAGTCGCACGATTGGCCGACTTCGCCAGCGATTTTGGTGGCCCGGCCTTCTCGACGACGTCACGCGCTATTGCGAGTCATGCGAGGTTTGCCGACGCTGCAAATCCCGCAACCATCGTCCGTACGGCGAGTTACGACCATTGTCAGTCCCGTTGCGGCAAAGGGAAGCGATTGCCATGGACATTACCGGCCCGTTCCCCAAGCACAAGACCGGAGTGGATGGGATTCTCACGGTGGTCGACCGACTCACCAAGTTCGCCATGTWTYTGCCTTGTCGCTATCATGCCAAGGCRCCRGAGTTGGCCGAGGTTCTGTACGCCGGTTGGATTCGCACCAAGGGTTACCCCAAGGAGATCGTCTGCGACCACGACACTCGGTTCATGTCCGATTTTTGGTTGGCGCTCATCAAGCGATGGGGCTCATCTCTCAAGCCCAGTTCAACTCTCCACCCTCATACCGATGGCCAGACGGAAAGGGCGCATCAGACTGCACAGGTTCTCCTTCGCACTCTCATCCGCCCCGACCAGAAAGACTGGGTTGAGCGACTGCCGGATGTCGAGTTGGCCTACAACTCTTCCATCCACCCTGCTATTGGGATATCGCCCTTCGAATTCGAGCATGGCTCGCCGGTCACATCACCATTGGACACTATTACTCCACGCACAGCCGAGAGCGACGACCATCTTCTCTTCTTGCGTCGGATGCAAGAGCTTCTTGTCAAGGCACGCGACCAGATGGCTAAGACGCAGCAGCGCATGAGCCAACAGGCAAATCGCCAGCGTCTTCCTTGTCCATTCCGCGCCGGGGACCTCGTCTGGGTTTCAGCAGCAGAATTCAGCCTTGAACAAGACGTCTCTCGCAAGCTCCTCCCGAAATGGATGGGGCCTTGGCCAATCATAGAGCCCACTGGGGACGCACCCGAAGGACCCTCCTTCACGATTCAGGTACCTAGCCACTTACCTGTCTACCCTGTCTTTCATTGCTCCAAACCGGCTCTCTACACGCCAGCGGATCATGACGACTTTCCCGGGAGACGGACGCAAGACCCACCTTCTATGGATGGTTTTCAGGAGGTCGGCGACATCATCTCCCAGCGACGCTTTGGCAACAAGCCAACTGAGTATTTGGTGCATTTTGCCTACTGCACACATCGAGCTGACCGTTCGTTAACCCGTGCGGAACTGCAAGCGACAACTCCAGACGTTCTCGCACACTACGAACGCAAGATGCAAGGCAAGCCGGTTTCTTCGGCTCCACGCCGCGCCCGCGTCCAGGTTCCACCTTCAGATCGACGGCTTCGCCCTCGCCCCGGCTTGACTTCATAAGGAGGGGGGGCTGTTACATGCAGCGCGTGCACACACGGGCCATTTTGCAGGCCCGACGACCATTTTGCAGGCCCGACGGTGTTCAGGCCAAAAGCCTGAACTTCAGGCCGAAAGCCTGAATTTCAGGCCAAAAGCCTGAAATCCAGGGCTTACAGGCCCCCTGTCGGCTCAGCACAAAAGCCTGAAGTTCAGGGGCTATCCCTGGTCGTTTCAGACTAAAAATGGCAACAGCCTTTTTAGCCTGAAACGAAGGGCCATTTTCGGTCGTTCATCAGAACGACCGGCCCTGAAACTC